GGTCATCTGCTTCAAATCCTGGGCATCCTTGAGAGATGGTTTTCCATGATCAGTTCCTAGTGAAGTCAGCATCTTCCATTGTTAAGGAGCATTAACTGTTGAAAGGATCTTCTACTTAATGAGGTTGAATCCACTCTTTCTATGATTTGTAGCCGTTAGTCCTGCCAATACAAGTTAAGCATCCCAAATCCAACAGTCTGAAATCCAAAAGGCTCCAGAATCCAAAATGTTTTGAGCACCAACATAACACTCCAAGGAAATGCTCGTTGGAACAATTTAGATTTTGCACTTTTGGATTTGGGATGCTCAACTTGTAAGTATTTGCAAATATTCTAAAACCTGAAAATAACTGAAATCTAAAATACTTCTAGTCCCAAGCATTTTGGATCAGAGATCCTCAACCTGGACCTTTATCATACAATAGGCTTCCTCTTGCTCAGGGTATCTGAACACTGCTGTCATGTCTGCACGTAGTCTCACCATTCCTCCTTTCCTCGGTTGATCCTCACAGGACTTGGTTGCCAGAACTTTCATTTCTCTGCTTGCAGTGTTTCAGCTAGGTCATGCATGGGCAGAATCCTGGGACAGCTGTGTAGGGTTGTAGTGTCTGTTAATCTGCAGCCCAAGGTTGTGTGAGCTTTTTGAGGCACTGTAGCCTATTTGACTCGATAGGATTTTTGTTTTGGACTTGACTTAGCTAAATATCAGGTTGTAAATTTAGCGCATTTCTCCAGGATTGCTTATTTGTAAGATACATCCTGAAATGATGAAGTTTTCCATGTGAAGGTAGTGAATAATTCACAAAGGAGGAATTCCATGTGTGTTTTTAACTTGTAAAACATCACCTCAATCTGTGCGTAAAAATATAGTTAGCGTGAGCCTATATCCACGTGATTACTCTCACCAAAGAACAGAACCTAGCAGTCATAAACAAGGATTTTCTGAATGCTGATCTCATCCTATTCCATGTGATTCTCTTCAGTGTGGCCTTTTGGTGTGGGAGAGAGAAGATCTTTCCTCTACCTTCTTTTCTTCTAGGCGTGTCTTACATCCAGGTGAGACCCTGTGGTGTTCAGTGATCTCTTGGGTGAGAACTCTGAGTATGGCCACAAAGATCTCTCAGATGAAGTTTCTGGCTGCACATCGATGCCTCTTCATAGTTAAATAACTGAAAGGCATATGGAGAACTTTCAGTCTTGTTTTTACTGTGACTTCATCTCTTGTAGCTTATTCTTATACTGTGCAGACCCAGTTTCAAGACACACACAGTGTTGTGGTACCACTTATACTACCATTTATTTAATCAATTTGGATGGCTTATGCTGCTCTTGGCCGTGGACCTGCAAAAACAAAGCCATGGGATAAAGCGGCCTGAATCATGTAATGAAAACCTTGTACCTTTCTGGAGGCCCGGTTGAGAAAAAATGATTTATTTTTGCCCTACCCAATAAAACATTCTAGGAATCCAAGGTGAAAATTGGATTTTAACTGCCTCTAACATTTTGAGCATATAAAATCAGCAAGTGTTGAGTGTTTTGCTTGATTAGGAGACGAACCTAAAGAGTCCAGTACAAGAATGATCTGTATATGATGTGAACTGGTGTCTTACATCAATTTTATAAAACTGGAAATAAACCCTAAGCACGCTTTGGCAGCCAGGTTGCAACAGTGGGGACCTCTGTGTTTTTACAGAATCATTTTGTTCCCAGTCTTAGGCCTCGTCATTGTTGCCCTTTCCTCCCTTCAGTCCTTCATATTTCAGGGTTACATGTTTTGTGATTAAGCTCAAGGAGTATGGAAACTACCTGATTCCAGCCCTAAGTATGTGCCTGTCTTCTCTCAGGTTCCCGTTTGTTCTCACGTTGGATGTGTCTCTCCCTCTTCCTCTCCCCACTCTGTGTGTACATGCGGATGCATGTTTGTTTCGCTGTCTCTGGGACTACCTACCCACCTACCACTTTATCATATTTCCTTTGGTCCAGTCTTCCCCCATGTCTGAGACTATTCATCTGTGGCCCCACCGCTGTTCCAGCCTCGGGGACTTTCCCTCACTGCACGTGGTTAAACACTTCGCTGAGAGCCCTGTCTTCAAACAGACTTCTCCAAGTCAGTGCGTTGGTATCTGGCACACGACGTCCCTCGCTGTTTATCCAGTTGTGTTGTTTTATGAGAGAATTTCTTTATCTCAAGGAATGCGTGTCACGTGTCTACAGGAGTTACTGCGCCAGTTTCAAGAGATGTGAGGGTCTTGGGCTTTACTGACGTACACGAGGGCTTTTTACAGTGCCTTCCCCAGAATTACGTGTTTTTTCAAGTTCATCTAAAAGAAAAAAGCAATTGTTTTGGTATGCCTACTTTTGCTTAACTCAAAATGTTTTCAACACCAGCTTTATTAGGGAAATTCATTTTGTCTCAGGGTCATTTCTTATGGAGTCTGGTACTTTCGACAGGGCAATTAGACTAACTTGTTTGATTGACAGGACCATTTACAATCTACTCCACTCACACGCCTTCTACTCCCTGGGGAATCCGACAAACATTTGGGACTTCAAATGGGACATCTGGAGTAGGGAGCTTTTATCTATAATAATAATAATAATAATAATAATAATGATAATGGTAATGATACCTGACACATGTAAGTGGTCAGCTATAATGTTCAGCATTGCACGTGCCTTTTTTCTTTCATGTTTCATGACCCTGTGAGAAAGATACTACTATGCAATCTATGTTATGGGTAGGAAAATGTCTAAGATAATGCGTGTAAGAAGTCCTACAGTCAGAATTCATACTCAGGCCTCTCTAACTCCTGAGTCACATTTTTAATCACTATCGTATACTGCTGTTGGAGAGCACACAGCATCCTGTTGAAATCATTAAAAATAATGAAACCTTAGAACATCAAAGCTATGATGTAACTAAAACTTAGCTGGGCCTTCTGTGGTTTGGTCTTGTTTTACAATTTGGATATGTAGTCACTTAGAGCCTTAATCAGAATGCTGCATGCTTGGACCTGGCGGGAAAGAAACGCTGTCCCTGGAGGCCTGCCAGGTGACTGGTGACTACTACCTGCTGTCCTTCTGAGGGCCACCACCTGCCTGGACCTTCTGTCACCACACACTGCTCTCTAGCCTGGGGTATGGATGCTAAACTTCCATTGGTTTTCTTGTTGTTGTTTTTTTTTTTGAGACGGAGTCTCTCTGTCACCAGGCTGGCATGCAGTGGTGCGATCTTGGCTCACTGCAATCTCTGCCTCCTGGGTTCAAGTGATTCCCCTGCCTCAGCCTTTTGAGTAGCTGGGACTAGAGGCATGCACCACCATGCCCGGCTAATTTTTTGTATTTTAGTAGAGATGGGGTTTTACCATGTTGGCCAGGATGATCTCGATCTCCTGACCTCATGATGTGCCCGCCTTGGGCTCCCAAAGTGCTGGGATTACAGGCGTGAGCCACCATACCTGACCCCTCCTTTGGTTTTCATACAGCTATTGCTTGCCTGGATGGCCTACAACTAGCTTGTTCCTTAATTCCCTAGGTTGTTTGTTCCTTTCTTCATGCAGTGTTTCCTGAGCATTTGCAACATGTACTGTGTACTGGAATATAAACATAAGATACATATGCATTGAACAGAAATGCATCGCAGAGGCAGTAGACTATATAGACAGTGCTGTGGGATAAAAAGGAGGGAGGAACTCATTGGAATTGAGGAGATAGGGGAGGTTTCATAGTGATGGTTCTCAGAGCTATTAATACATGTCAGGGGTTGAATAAAGTCTATTCTGGGAAAGAAAAAAGGAGAGGGTGTTCCAGGGAGACGTGCTCCTTTTGGAAGGACGTGGTTTGTTCAGAAAATAAAGAGCCCTTTGGTATGTCTGCAGGATAGAGGTGGATGGGGACAAGAGATTGCCTCAGGTGGGAATAGGAAGGGCCTTATAGATCATTCTGGAGTGTGCAGTTTTCAGACAATGGAGAGTCAGTGAAAGGTTTTCATCAGTAATGTGATCAGATTTGAATCAGATTGGAAAGACAACTCTGGAAACTGTTGGGAGGATTTTTGTAGAGACTGAGGCAGAGGAAGGCAGAATAACCCCTTGGATGCTCTGCGTTTACACAGGAGACAAAAATGTGGGGTGTGTTAGCCTGCACAGCAGGGGTGGAGAGTCAGGTGGTCCTCCCCTCAGGCTGGCCTTTGGATAGGTCCACAGAGCAGGATCTGTTTTCTTAGGCACTTCTTGCCCCACTGAGGTGGTCTAACTTCAGGCCCCTGCCTCTCAGCTTTTTCTCACTTTCTATGGTTGACCAGGAGTCTTACCTGGTCTTAACGCTGGACAACCGTGTTGCACCAGTAGCCTGTAAGTCCAGCTTTTATGCCTGCTCAAGCCGGTCTTGCTTAAACATGCTGGCACCTTCCTAGCTTGGCTGACCTCCCCGGGTCAGAACACTTGGCTGCCTGGAGCCTTCGTCTTTGCTACAGCTGATTTGGCCCAGCCAGTAATTGTTTCTTCTGTCCTGTCAGTGCCCAGGCCTTGGGGTTATAGGAAGATCAGAAGCCTCTTGTAGGTGGGACCTGTGCCATCTTCTCATGTTTTACACACATGCCATACCCTTAGAGTTCTGTTCCCAGATGATCCACACAAGAGATTTAAAGAGACAGATACAACTAAAATCTAAAAAGCCTATATTGATCTTATACATTATGAGGTTCTTATTAAGAAAAAAAGGCATTGGAAACGTAAGTTTTATAAAGTACTCTGAGCAGTGACAGATTTTCTTAGACTGGAAATACCAAGGTGCTGTCATTTGGAAATGTACTTGTTCATTTTTGTGTTGTATTGATTTCTGTCCAAGTATTTTCTTTGCAAGTTTTACAGTTTTTTTCCTTTCTAATTGTGTCGATAACAAGGGAACTGGTTTATAGTGTGACTGTGAGGTACAGCAGTGCTCTGGGGCTGGGCATCCTGCACTCAGTTAACCTTCATATTTCACACCTAATCATTGCAGTGTGGCAAAGCGCTCCCTGGCCTTTCAAAGCAAGAGGACTGCTGTGGAACTGTGGGTACCTCCTGGGGCTTTAACAAATGCCAGAAATGCCCCAAGAAACCATGTAAGTAATGTTTCCTCACTCCTTTGCAGGTCAATGTAGCATATCTGTTTTTTATGATTACTCGTTTAATGATGAGGCAGTATTAGACTTTCAAATAACTCTCTTACTGAATTCTAGAATGTAGTACTACTATAATATGCATTTCCAGAAAATTTGCAAGTCTGAAAAAGTTTTCATGTCAATTATTTTGTAATAAGCACAGTTATTAATTATCCTCTTTAGTTGGATTACTTATGGGGGAAAAAAGTCTTAAGCGGTAATGAGCTAAAATGGACTTTTTGTCTCAGGGGAAGAGAAAATAAGATCTCTTTTAAAATGGTGAGTAAATGTTTCAAACCCTATAAAAAGTCAGTGCAGTTGTTATTTCCTAGGTTTAAATTCCTTAAATGAGATTTTTATTAATATCCACAACGTATGTTGTAGTTTTTGTTATGTTATCGGTTTTCAAATGTCATTAAAAGGAAAGCTGAAATGGAGAAATAATTGGTTGTTGATTTGTAAAAGAGAAACTTGTAATCACTAGAACACAATTCTTTCCCATTTTTTCTAACACTGGTTTTATGCTGTCACAGACCTCAGCAACATTAATCTGTATTAACACCCCCAGGCTTTGATTTGTTTTTAAAGTATTTTTCAGAACATATTGATCTGAATAAATCAGGTTTACACCTTTTTAATACTCTCTTACCAACAATAATTTGTACCTTTAGTTTTTCAATGTAGTATTAACTCTGGATAACTGATTTCTAATATCCAGAATATATTATTAGAATATAATATTCTAATAACTTTAGTGAAAAGTTCCTCATAATTAATGAATTCTTCATTTACAAAAATAATCCACGTAAATAAGGACATTTTCAGTACTGAGAGAATTTTCCAAGTAGATGTTCTAAGCTGATTTGATGATCGTTTGCAATGTGAATTTCCAGGAAGTAGGTTGAGTGTGATGGTTCATCCTCACTGGAAGATCCATTTGCTTAAAATTATTTTGGCAACCTGACCAAAGGGATTGCTATGATACATTTGGTTTGATTTAAAAATTTTAGTGTTTGAAGTTAGGTAGACCTGAGTTCGATTCCCAGCTCTTTCATGTACTATTGAGTCTTGTGGATCATTAAACAGGAATCTATAGCTAAAACGTTGAAAAGGCATTGCCCTCTTTTTTTTTTCCTTAAACCTGCCTCTTCTTTGTTTACCGTGTCTGTCTGTCTGTAGGAATATTGAGGAGGATGATATGTTTTCCACTGTTAGGTCGAAGGATTAAGGATGAGGGAAGTTAGTTTCATAGAACTTTGTTTTGGGGCTAAGTCTATGTTCTCTAATATTAAATACCTTCCCCATGTTTCTTATTTTTTTTTTTCATTTACCCTCTTCTTTGTGTATCTTTTGCTTAGCTGCTTCTCTTCTCCCTCGTGTCTAAACCCCAAAGTAGCAGGGATGTGATAGACATTTAAGGTGAAGCAACTCCTACTGTCCTTTTTTGTTTTTTTAATCCCTCCACTCTTGACCTTTTGTCATTTTTGTCTAGAATTGCGTCATTTTTATCTAAGATGAGTTCATTGATTTCTGTGGTTTGTGAGCTCTATATTTTGATCTTGATAAGGACTTAGTTGAATGTGAACGTGCAAAGTTTGTCACTTTTAACTACATGTTGATGAAAATAAATCCATATGTTGGCTCATTTAATGTATAAAATTGAAGAAACTGCTTTCACTTCAGGGAGGGCAATGTGGACTATGAATGAAGTAAACTATTAACATCTTGACATTTATTCTGTTTGTGCTGTCTTATGTGACTCACTCCCAAGAAACACACTCAGGGTCACATTCTTCCTGTGTCATTTATAAAGTTTTCCTTTCCTTGGTTGGGACTCCTCTCTAAATCATGTTCAGTTTGGAAGGAAGCAGACTTTCCTTGGCTTTCTCCGCTATGGTTTTGTGTTCCACACCTCTTTTTTTTTGTTTTGTTTTTTTCACTCAAACTAGTTCAAACTTTACTTTTCAAGTGGCTTTTATTTAACATTTGAAGTTTTTATTTAGCCACATACAGAACGGCCTTTCGTTGTTGATCGTTTTTTTTTGTTTGTTTGTTTTTGCCGTGAAAACTTAATTTTAAATCTGCAAATGATTTCATTAAATAGTTTGTGACCCATTAGAAATGTGCTTAGCATGAACAAGTCACTTGTCCTTTAAAACTTTTGAGAGGAAAATGAACATAAAATCCTAAACTGAGGAGGACTGTAAGAGATTGCCTGATCTGGCTCTCTGCCTTGAAGTAGATGACGGTTGAAACTTCTAAAATAAGTTAATATCCGTCTCTTTTGTCTTTGAGGAATTTGCAGCCAGAGATCCTACAATCTCTCCAGGAAGCGTGCTCCAGTGGTCTATGGGACAAGACAGACGTGAGGCCAAGGAGCTGAATGGGGGAACTCCCACACGCCCATATCTCCCCTCTTTTAATTTGCCTTTCCCAGACGCCTCACTGTGATCTCTTTTAGTCATCTGGGGGAATCTGAAGAGAGAGGAAATACAGCAAAGAAAAGAATTGAAGGAGAAGAGGGACACCCCAGTACATATTCACCCTGTTTGTTTAGTGGTGATAGATAAAGCTCATATGGGGAGGCTGAAATAATTTTATGTTTTAATAGAAAATTTCCCTTTTTATTTTCTACTTTCCCCTTTTACTCCTCTTTCAAGTCTTTTTAATGGTCTAATCTTTCATCCCATTTTGATTATAGCTTGTTTTCTGTTGCGTAGTATTCTCTTAATAGAATTCCTTATTGCAGGACATAGCAATGGCATTTGACATTTTGGGAGTGCTTGTCACACTCAGGCCCCGTGGTAGGCATTTTTCATGAATTCTCTCTAAACTGCGGAAGTACTCTTCCTGCTCAGTAGATGGGAATTACCCTCATTGTATAGAATTTCTGTGTGAAACCCAAGAGGCTTGTTTCCCAAGGTCACAGCTATTGATAGGAAGAGGATTTGAAACCCACTTCTGCCACATCCCAGAACTTTGTCTGCATCCACTATGCCAGGTGGCCCCTCAGGTCTCACTCAAGAGTATCAGAATCTCAGGAAATAGGATTTTGTTGAGAAGTTGGTGATTGCAACATTTGTATTGTTTGCCTATTCTGAGTGCAGCCCTTTTAATTTCCTGACTTCCTCTCATCACCTGCCTATTCTTCTCAGGTTCATAATAGTAAGAATCATCTCATGACTAGGATGTCCGAGCCAGTAATTAGGATGAGTGTATAATTTATTGTCTAAACTGGTACACTTTGGGGAGTAAAGTACTGTTAATTAACTTTGCTGGAATAACAGACATCACCCAGAATGTTCCAGGACATGTAGTAACCCTACCTACAATGGATAAGAAAATCCAAACCCTGAAGCACATCACTGGGGAGGAATAGATGCTTTGTGATGGAAATATGTAATCACTAATTAGAAGAAAATGTACAACAATCTCAAGATTGTTTCAGTTAACATAATAAAGATTTACTGATAACTTCTTGGGACTTTATTGCAAAATAAGAAGTATCCTGAAAAATAAGCAGAATGGGAAAGAAATTATGGAGATATACATTGGTATTGGTTTCTTGTATTAATAAATGAATAAGTCTGCTGTGCCTTAAATGGCTTCAGATGTCGCTTATAATAGTCTAAGATTGTAAGAATGTAAACTAAGTGTGTAACAAAGCATTTCTTCCCTTACAGCTTATCATGGATACAACCAAATGATGGAATGCCTACCAGGTTATAAGCGGGTTAACAACACGTTTTGCCAAGGTAAGACTAACTGAATTCATTGATGTGAACTCAACAATTGTTTTGGCTTTTTAGAAACGTCAGTTGTTTGCCACAGCTTGCTCATTCGCCCAGCCTGTCACAGTGAACCACCTCATGTTCACTCCTTTTGGCTAAGGAAATAGAAGGAAATAAGTTTAAAGTATGGTTATTGGAATTGCTTTATTACCACTGACACTTGCTGCAAGTTTTTAATCTAAAAGAGTTTGGATAGGAGTTTGGATCACATTAGAGAGCACATGTGGTTTCCATGCTAGTCATATCCTTGCATGGGCATGTGCACATATGTGCTTGCATGCACCCACATGTACCTGGCAGTTCTACTTCATTGCCAGTGCATGGTTGGGCAACAGAGTTCCCTTTTCTCCTCTCATCGAAATGTTGGTCATCTCAGGAACTAGATATCAGAGTAAACACATTTTGCCTAGGCAAGAAGAAAAGCTATGTAGCTAAGTATGAAATGCCCTGGACACTTTTGCTCAGTTTATGTTGAACAGTACAGCAAAGTTGTACAAGCAGGGGGAAGCTGGGAGATTGTCTGGTCCAGTGTCTACTTTATAAATAAGAAAACTCAAGCCCAGAGAGGTTAAGTGACTTTCTTGTGGCAGCATAGAGCTGAGATTATCACTTGAGTTTACCAAGGCCTAGTTTAGTACCCAATATGATACCATATTTTGTTTTAGTTACTTTATGGGAAGATCAATGCTTCTAATTTCCCTTTACATGTCTAGGATGAAGATGTTATTAGTAACTTGGAAATACGTGTACGTTGAAACTGAGAAAGCAGAGAGCCTCCCAGAGTCTAACAGAACCAAAAGCCATGTTGAGAACATGGCACATGTCTTTTGACTTGTGTTCTGAGGCTCTGTATCCTTGACCAGCATATGTATTTAGGATAGAGTAGATTAAGGTCATGTTACAGAGAAAAGTTAACCCCCTATTCAAATGGCTCATGTCAAAGGAATATCTTGATTACCTGAGAATTTTCTCAAGTAAATTGTCTATAGTGCTGCATCTGTGTAACTTTTTTGATGTGTAGAGTCTTTGTTAACATAAAAGACTTTTCTTTAGAAATGCACATATATTCTGTCTTTAAAAGACTTTTTCTTAAAAATATTGTAAGCCCTCATCGTGTGTCACAGAATGTTGAGAAAATTAGAATTAACCACTTAAGGAGAGGCCACCCATGACACATTTTGAGAAACATCTGTAAAAGTTAGTAACATGGGAATATTGGATTAATCTACATAATTTTAGAGTCAGAATTTAAGGTATCATTAAATTAATTCGATGGATGAATGAGTAGGTTAAATTAAATAATGAACAGATTTTAAGATGCATATTTTACAGTATAAACCAAGTTATTGTTTTATAGATTTGGATAAACGTCTATAGCCTTAGCACATTTGTAGAATGCATTAGTAGAAATAGAATGAACAGGGCAGTGGAAGTAACAACCTTGTACACTGTGCCCATCAGACTGATTTTGGGGTTTGGATGTTCAGTGTTCATTATTGTCTTTTGGTTAATAAAGTCAACCAGGTTTGTGAAGGGCCTAGAAACATGAGTGTGTTTAGCACACAGAAGTACAGACTGAAGGGAAATATAATGGCTGCCATATAAACACGCCTTTAAATGTTTGTAAACATGCCACTAAATGATTAACTGTCCTACAAAACAAGACGTACCTAATCACAGGGGACATTTCAGGAAACTAGGTGTCTAGGGGCTAAAACTTACGTGAAAAGCTGAGCTGTAATTCCTTTCTTTTTATTCACAGTCTCTGTCCCAGGGGACAGATGGTAATGATAGCATCATAGAACTGGAATGTGCCTACGAGCCATCTAACCTTATATACTGTTCAGGGTAAAAATACTCTATCATATCCCTGGCCAATAGTTATGAAACTGTCAAATCACCTGTATGAACAGGAAGCTCAGTACTTCCAAAGACATTTCATCACAAGGTTGTTGGCGAACTCTATTCTGCAGAAAAGGCTTTCTTGTAGTTGTTCCATTAAACTAGAGGACAGAGGATGGTCCTTATTTATCCTTCACTATTTCAATCCTGCATAGCTAATTGTTACATTTTCCAGAATGTCAGATGCTCCTAATTTCTCTTAATTTCAAATGGATAAAATATACATATGTTCTTTAGGTATGGTGTGTTTGTTTTTATTTGTTTGCCATTTTTTACCATTCATGGATACTTGAAGACAGAAGGCTTACTCTCATATAGTTTTATGGTGTTGTTTCTTCCTTATGTATTTGGAATAATTCACAGGAGAAGACATTTGGCCCTGAAGTTTTCTTTTAGAAAATGTTTCAGTTATGGAGCAAATTAATAGCTATACTATTATTCAGATTTCCCATTACTACTTTGTGTCAGTTTTGATAATCTGTATTACCTTAGAAAGTGCCATTTTATCCAGAATGTCAAATTTATTAATATGAAATGTTTTCCTAATATTCTCTTGTTTTCTTTTTAATTTATATAGCAATCCCCGTCCCTTTTAGTTATATTGCTATTTGTGCTATATTTGTTTTTCTTGGATTAGGCTTGCCAGTGGCTTATCAATGTTACCAATTTTTTCCCCCAAAGAATCAATTATTTGCCTTGTTGAAAACATTTGTCTATTTCACTGATTTCTGTTCTTTGTTTTCTTTTCCTTTAACTTTTTGTTCAATAGCTACTGTTCCTAATTTCTTCAGATGCATACTTAGGTCATTGATGTCAGCCTTTCTTCTTTTCCTGAAATATAAATAAAAGTAAATTTCTATCAGTCTAGATTCTGACTTTAACTGTATCCCTTAATTTTGTGTCGTATTCTTATCTCTAAGTTCAAGTTTTAAAAGAATTTCCTTTTATTTTTTATCAGCATATAATAATTATACATATTTATGGGGTATGTAGTGATGTTTTGATACTTAAAATGTGTAGTGATCAGATCAGGGTATTTAGCAAATCCATCATCTTGAACATTTATAATTGGAACATTCAGTGTATTTTCCTTCTACCTATTTGAAACTATGTAGCTATGGAACACTAGAACTTATTCCTATTTAGCTGTTGCATTAGTCCGTTTTCACACTGCTGATAAAGACATACCCAAGACTGGGCATTTTACAAAAGAAAGAGATTTAACTGGACTTACAGTTCCACATGGCTGAGGAAGCCTTACAATCATGGTGGAAGCCAAGGAAGAGCAAGTCACATCTTACATGGATGGCAGCAGTCTGAAAAAGGAGCATTTGTGCAGGGGAATGCCTCTTCTTAAAACCATCAGATCTCACGAAAATTACTGTCACAAGAACAGCAAAGGAAAGACTTGTCCCCATGATTCATTACCTCCTACCAGCTCTCTCCCGTGACACATGGGAATTCAAGATGAGATTTGGGTGGGGATACAACCAAACCATATCAGCTGTCATTTTGTATCTTTTAACAAATCTCTCTTTACCTTCACCTTCCCTCTACCCTTACCAGCCTCTAGTTATCTTCTGTTCTACTTTTTACTTCAATGAGATCAACTTTTTTTAGCTTCCACATATGAGTGAGAATAGGTGGTGTTTAACTTTCTGTTCCTGGCTTATTTCACTTAACATAATGTCCTCCAGTTCATCTATGTTATACAAATGACAGATTTCATTCTTTTTTATGACTGATTAGTATTCTGTTTTGTATATACACCACATTTTCTTTATCCATTCATCTATTGTTGGACACCTAGATTGATTCCTTATCTTGGCTATTGTGACTGGTGCTGCAATAATAAGTTCAGTTTTTAAAAATTATTCTGATTTTATTATTGACCCATGGATTATTTAGAAATGTATTGCTTAATATCCAAATACTTGTGAAATTTTTCTTGTTGTATCAGTTGTTGAGAGAGGTGTTAAAATTGCCTGCTATGATTATGGAATGAATGTTTTTCTTTCATGTCTGGCAAATTTCAGTGTGTGGTTTTTTACCTTTACAATGGGTGTCTTATAGAAAACATGTAGTTGAGTCTTGCTTCTTTTCTACATTCTGATATTTCTGCCTCTTAATAGGGGTGTTTATTGCAGTATAATCTAAAGTAATTGATCCAGGCATAGCCCATAATTGGGGCCTAGCCTGAGAGGGTTTTTGGCTTTGCTCAGGAAATAATTCAAGGCTGAGCCAGCAGTGAAAGAAAGCAAGTTTATTAGAGTAGCAGGTACAACAGAATGGCTGCTCCATAGACAGACCAGGGCTATCCCACAGGTGGGGTGGCCCAGCATAGTAGCAGCAGCAGCAGCAGCATACAGCAACAGTAGCCATCCAGAGCAGCAGTCCCTGTAAATGGCTGGCTAGCTACATTTAATACTCACTGTTAATAATATGCTAATTAAAGGTCAGGTTATTTAGAATTTTCTAGAAAATAAGTGGAGGAGCTCCCGGAACCATGTAAGATAACTTCTGGGTCACTGTCATGGCATTTGTAAACTGTCATAGTGCTGGTGGGCGTGTCTTGATGCTAATGAGCAGTAAGGGTGACTAGAGGTTGCCTTCATGGCCATCAGCTGGTTCTGGCCGTTTTTTCTGCTACATCCTATTTTGATTAGCAGGGTCATGATTAGTGCTCAGAAAATAAGTTCTGCTGATCTCCTACCTCATAATTATTGATGTGGTTAGATGTAGGTCTATCTAAACATCTTTGTCTGATCAGGAATTTTTTTGTTCTTTTCTTGCCCTTTCCTTAGAATTCCATTTTAATTTTGGCTTTTTACCAATACATTTTTGCATCACTTTACCTTTTTTTTTTTTTTTTTCTTTTTTTGAGACAGAGTCTTGTTTATTGCCCACGCTGGAGTGCAGTGGCACGATCTCAGCTCACTGCAGCCTCCGCCTCCTGGGTTCAAGTGATTCTCCTGCTTCAACCTCCTAAGTAACTGAGTAGCACCAACACACCTGACTAACTTTTGTATTTTTAGTAGAGATGGGGTTTCACCATGTTGGCC